GCCCCACGCCCCACGCCCCACGGGGTAACCTGCGACCAGTCCCCTTCCGTGCAGCTCTCCCCTGGAGGTGATCACGCCTCATCCTCTCATCTGCTGAGCTCTCTGACGTTATGGTTTGTTGTTGTGCACTGTCGAGTCAGTCATCTTGGCGAGGCCCCCTGTGGACGGAGCTGCCCCACAGGCCTTTCCAGCCTGTCTCCCTCATGGGAGCAGATCACCAGGTCTCCAATCCCATGGAGCCGCTGCAGAACCACATATTTTGCAGTTAACAGCCAAGCTCTCAACCCGTGTGACACCAGGGCTCCTTACTTTCCCACTGTCACCCTTGATGAGAGGAGAGGCCTCCTCTCAGTAAATCTACACACAGCTTTGTCGGTGTCATTTTTGGCTGTCCTCTCATCCCCAGGAAGACACACACATGCACACACACACAGACACGCACACACACGGTTTCATCCCTAGGAAGACACACAGACACACACACGGTTTCATCCCTAGGAAGGCGCACGCGCACACACGCAAAGACATACAGACATACACAGATTCACAGACAGACACACAGACACAGACACACACACCCGGTTTCATCCCTAGGAAGACACACACACACACGGTTTTATCTCTAGGAAGGCGCGTGCACACACGCAAAGACATACAGACATACACAGATTCACAGACACACACAGACACACGGACACACATACACAGACGCACCCATGCTCTCTTCTCTAGGAGACGTCATTTTGCTGTCATGTTGGAGTTTGAAAGATTATTTTCTGACACTGTGTGTGGCCACTCACTAGACCTCAGACAGCGCCAAGCAGGCTGGAAGGACATGGCCACACTGCAAACGCCAGCGGTAGTAGGCCAGCTTTAGGCACCTGCCACCATTCTCCTCTGACACCTGGCACTTACCTGGGACCTCCAGTGGGGTCTGTGACTCAGCCACCAGCATATCTGCGAAGCGCTCCGACAGGCGTGGGCCCAGACTGGAGTTCTTCGCAATAAAGAACGGAACGACTGTCTTGCCGTATGTTTTTAGCGTCAGCTCCAGTGGTACGTCTTCCGTGCTCAGGATCTTGGGGTTGGACATGAGGCTGAACACGACGACCCCCAGGGGGACCAAGACCTTTACCGACAGCATCATCACCCAGTTGCGCCAGGAGTAGGTCATCCTTTTCAGGAGCATGGCGTAGAACTGCTGGCAGAGAAGACGGAGCTACAACACAAACGGGGGGAGCAGCACCGACGTGATCACAGGCAAGAACCGTCCGGCCACCCGGCGGGCCCAGCCCCTGCGCAGCCAATGGTCTGATGGCTAATGGGGCTCTTCCATCAGGTTGGAAACTTGCTTGCAGTTACAGTGCTTTGAACTCGCCATGTGATTGGCTTTGAACAGGGGAAGCGAAGACACAGAAGTCTAGGGAGGAGCTAGAACAGGCACGGGCTGTGAACGGGGGGTGGTTTTCCACCCCCCAGACCAGCAAGAATGTAAACTGAGGAGGACGGAGGGAAAATGCCACCACTGGTGGGCCTTGACTTTTTTCCTTTTTTAAGAAAACAAATTGGTTCGATGAATAAATTTAATATGTCAATGGTCTGAACCTAACAATTCCACTCCTGGCCATGTATCCTACAGACACACACGCGGGGCCCACGCACAGAGAGTCTGGTGCCACTGATAGGATAGCTCCCAGAGCTGGAGCAAGCCGGGGGGAGCGGGACCCTCAAGGGCAACACTGGGGGCTCCCCTCCCCCTTTGCTGCTGCGGGGCCCTGCAGAGCTGGGGGCAGCCAGGGGTCTTTAAGCCCAGCCTCAGCGTTGTCCGCACCACCTTTTCCTCTTGGGAGGAGGCTTGGCGGCAGGTGTGAGGCAGGTATCTCTGAGTTCTTGGCCTGAACTCTTAAAGATATCTGAAAGTCTCTACCAGCACCCCACAGGTTCTGTATTCAACAGCAGGTAGGCTATAATCACCTCTAGAATTTGTCACAGGCTCTTGCTGAGGTCACACACTGAAAATACTTCCAAGAACACTCAGAGCTGTCCCCAAAGCCAAACTCGGCCAAGTGGAATCTGGATAACTGTCCATTTCAGGTACTGGATTCAAAATTATGAAACAAATCAATCTCTTCACTAATCCATGAAAACCAGTCTCCTCATTTTACAGTAATACCGTGTGGACAGCCGAATCAAGAGCACTTTATAATGGGCCGTAAAAGCTTGCAAGCGGCCATCCAGGCACCAATTGGTCTCTATTCGCTTGGAGCAACAGAGGCGGGAGGAGAGTCGGGAACGGGAAGAGGACACAGACGTGGGGCTGATGCCTCAGGAGCAGCTGCCTCCTTTGTCACGAGACCAAAACAACTGGATGGTGCCGGCTACCATTAGGGAACATTCGGATCAGGACACCACAGAAGGATCCTGATCAAGAGGGGGGGAAATGTGGATCAGCATTTCAAATTCTAATGGACTGCAGACTTCCTGGAGCCATAAAGTGTGGATGAGACCCCGAAACTACCGTCCTGAGATCATCTTTAACCTTAAACCAAAACACGCCTGGAGTCTTCCTCACACCGAGCAGCTACCCCGCTTCACTAGGAACGAGCGCCTGCCTTGAGCATGGCGCTCTTCTAAGGACCATCCAGATGGGATCAGAGCGACAACAGCAACTCGAAAAGTTCGACAGGAACCTGAGGGGGCAGTGCGTTCATGTTCCCAGGAGAGCGTCATGGATTGTGTGTCCACCCAACGTGTCACCTTGGCTAGGTCATGGTCACCGGTACCGTGTGGCTGGCCTCCACCTGTCATCTGCTGTAGCTGTCCTGTGTGTTGTAAATCCTAGCCCCGCAGATGGTTAATGAGGCAGCAGGAGGGGATGTTAGAGGGCATTCGGTATGCCTGCCATGTTATGAGGGAGGATGAGGGTGGGCGGCTACACCCTTACTCAGGTCACAGACCGAGGGTGTGGCCTGCTTCACCTTTTATCTTCCTAGCAATAAAGGGACAGGGAAGCCGGCAGAGGAGCAGGGAGGAGCCCCACCACCACTAAGAAAGAAGAGCAGGAGTGGAGTGTGTCCTTTGGGCCTGGCGTCCCTGTGCTGAGAACCTGTTAGACCCAGGGGAAGCTTGATACTAAGGCACGTGGAGATCTCCAAGGCATGCCAGGCCTGAGATGCTGAAAAGAGCCAAGGACACCTTTGTCCAGAGCCCTCCCCTAGAGCCGGCCCTCTGATTTCAGACTCCGAGCTTCCTAAACTGCGAGAGAGTGTGTTTCTGTTGGTCCAAACCACCCGTCTGTGGCATTTCTGTTACAGTAGCACTAGAGGACAAAGACGGAGTAGAACAACTCAGAAAAGAAGGGCGGGAACGGTCATCGAACTCGAACAGCGTCGGTGTCACCGAGCAGTATGTGTGCAAAGTGCTGGAGTGGTGTGTGTTTTGCTGTGTATAGCCTCAACAACAACAAGACAAATACAGTTATATCTGAAATAAGACCACTTTACCGAGAGCACCAAAGCTGCTTTCTTTAACACTAAACAACACTGCGGCTCTCCTCATGGCTTGCGGGGAGATTTTCAAATCTCCGCATTGAGTGCTCCACGCATGGCCTGCCTCTCGGGGAGAGACTAAGGGTGCATTTTGGCCAATGGTGTAGGTGCTTTCATCCTTCCGCTTACTGCTCAGAGGCTCGGCCATGCTCGCTGCTGTGAGCTTTCCTGATCCGCCAGTCCTTCCTTTGGGTTCCTCTTGTTTAGGAAACACCCCATTTTGCCTTGCGCCACAGTAGAGAGCATGGCATTGCCTGCGCCTGGCAGAGCCAGTCTTTTCTGCCTAAAGCGTGTGCGTTTCCTTAGGCCTTGTGAAAGGCTCACACACATACTTCCTGAGAGACGGACAGCACGTGTCCAAGGGTTCCCCACCGTCTGCTTCCCAGCACGGGTTTGGCATCAGCTGCTCACCCCGGTGTTTGTCTGGATCACCACGCCCGTCTGCAGTGAGAAGATCCTCGTGTGAAGACGTTTGATGTTGTCGACAGGGATGCTGGTGAGCACGGGCCGGGAACGTGCCAAGGAGAGCTTGCTGAGCTGCATGTCTGTATTGGGCTCTGCCAACCTGTTAACTCTAAAGCAAACAGGAGCAAACACAGATTCTCAAAATCGCAAAGCATTTCATTTCACTTGCATTTAAAGGTCAAATCTTGTAAAACTGATAAAACAGAAACTCAGGGCAAGAATGAGGGAGAGAGCACAAGCCGCAGTTGGAAGCCGGCCAGCAAGGTCATGCACTGAGCGATGCTGAGGCCTGCAGCAGGGCGTCCGCACCGACGCCCAAAACCCGCCACGAACACTCTAGCAGAAAATATAAAACGACAGATATCAATGTGAGCGTGTCACAAACAGTGCCATTAACAGACCACATGTTCCATGAAACTAACTTCCCTGTTGGCCTCGTCACGGTCAGCAGTTCCCCTGCAGCCCTGCTTCATGGTGACGTTGTGGTCAACATCAGGCCCGGGACCCAAGACCCCATCACTACAAGTGCCAGTAGGGGCTGGCGAGCGTTCAGTGGGGCCAGGGCAGAAAGCAGTCAAGCAGTGGACGGCGCTGGGACACAGAGCTCTGGGACCCCAGCGCTGAGGCTCTGACCTCGACGGGTTAGCTCTTACCGAACGAAGACCTCCTCCATGGTGGCCACAGACGCCCCAAAGCTGGAGATGCCCAGCTCTTCCTGCCTCAGCTCTAGCTTCGAAAAGAGAGACTCGAACCTGGAAGCGAGACACAGCTTTACCCCGAAAGGTGCTGGTGGGGGGCGCCTCCTCCCTCTTTGGGTCTCCACAGGGGAGGACGCAGGGGCTGGGGAGGCAAATCCCGACTTGTTAGATGTCTGGGACACGTCCGGGAACTCGGCGTCCCTTCGACAAGGAGGGTAACGGCGTTTACTTCAGGGGGTTCCCATGGAGAAAATGAACATGCACCTCGCCCACTTCATATGCAAAGTAAGCAAGTGAGGCCTACGTAGGCCCGGCCCTAAGGCGACAGGCTGCCTGCTTTGTCCAGGTCTTTCAAGCTTTCTGCCTCCAATGGGTGCTGCCTTTCCACCCATCTGTCACTCGTTTTAGTGGGAAATAGTTTTTTCTCTGACGGGTTTCTGCCTCATACAGGCTCCAGCTTTTATAGCTTTTACTGTGGTCAGTCAATTTTTGTCTTTTCTTTTGCTAGTTTTGGAGTGCTCAGTAACTGTCAGGGCCACCCTAAGGTCAGTCCCGCCAGCAGCTCTGTGAGGACGGTGCCGAGAGGCGACCCCAGCGAGCCAGGACTGACCTCAGGCCGCCGCTGGGCTCCAAGCAGCACTGGGGCCTGTGAGGCCCGTGAGGGGAGAAGTGGCTCCCCCGGTCTGCTGACCTTGCTCTGCCTCGTTGCCCTCATCTCTGTGACATGAGGACACCTCCCTTTCTTACCTCCCACGCATCTCTTAACCCACCTCAGAATGGCCTGAACCCACACCCTTCTGTCCACACTACTCCTTTCAAGGTCATCCTCAACCTCTGTCTTGCCACAGGCAGTGGTGACAATTGACACAGTTGTGGTGACAATGGGTTCAAACACAGCGGTGACTGGGAGGTTGGTGCAGGACTGCAGTGTTGTACACAGGGCTGCCATGGGTCAGAACCGACGCGGTGGCACCTAACATAACCTTCTATACCTGGGGCCCCTGAGCAGTGCAGACAGTGAAGGCTTGAGTCGGACTGGTCTAAAGCTTGGTGGTTCAAATCCACCCAGAGATGTCTCAAAAGACAGGCCTGGAGAGTCGCGGTGGAAAGGTCCTGGAAGCCCCGTGGGGCAACTCTGCTCTGCATACACAGGGTCGCCAGGAGTCGGGGTCAAGTTGACAGACATAAATGACAACACCACTTTGCACATGTGCATTACACATATGTGATCAATGTGCATTACACGTATGAGGTCAATGTACCAAAAACAAACCAAACTCACTGCCATGGACTCTGATCAGACTCACAGCGACCCCTCCTTGACTTTCCTAGGCGGTATCACTACAGAAGTAGATTGCCCAACGTGCCTTCTGAGGAGTGGCTGGTGGGTTTGAACCATCAGCCTTCTGGTTAGCAGTCAAGTACCTTAGGCACTATTGCACCAGAGTTCTCAACATACATGACACGCATGGGGTCAACATACACGATACTTTATATTCTGAGGGTCAACTTTCTTCCCTGATCAATCACTGTCCATGCTGGTGGATCACTGTCCATCCTGATGGATTACCTTATGTTCTGATGGGTCAACTCTCCACCCTGATCAATCACTGTCCTTCCTGATCAATCACTGTCCATGCTGGTGGATCACTGTCCCTCCTGAGGGGTCATGGTCCAGCCTGTGGATCACTGTCCATCCTGATTGGTCACTCACTGTCCATCCTTCTCTCCCATGCAGCAGCTCATGGGTTTCAACCACCAACTTTTTGGTTAGCAGCCAAATAAGCTCCCTGATTTACCATGTTAGAAGGTCAAAAAGGAACACCACACAATTATCCACATAAACGAGAAAAGTACATTTGGTAAAATTCCACATCTCTATTTTTTGAAGTGGGAGTAATAATAGATGGATACTTTTTCAACACGATTAAAAAAAAATTCAAGCCAAAATAAATTTCAGATGACTTAAATTTTCTCATATGTAAAATTCAACTATAAACGTACTATAAAATATCACAGAAAATTTTTATAGGAATGAGACCAAGCCCAAAAATTATAAAAGAATGGTTGGCTGACTGTAAGTTTTTGAATGGAAAACGTGTGCGCATACACACTGTGCACGCACATGCACACACAAGCACATGCACTTTTATCATGCCCTCCCACTGGAAATGAGACAGCCGGATGGAACTCCACGCAGCCAAGGCAGATGCTAAACAACAGGTGGTCCGGGAGCTCGGTCCTTGAAAGAAGGGAAATGACAGGGAGCCACCGCGTTGGCCCCGTGCTCTGGCCCAGGACGCTGTCTGGGGCATGACCGCAGTGCCCTGAGAACCTTTCACAAACCGGAGAGAGAGGCAGGCCCCAGAACCTGTGTCTGCAGAGCACACTGGTGTGCTCCAGGAGAGGACAAGCAGAGAGGACACGGAGTGGACGAGGGGGACACACTAACAGGCGGCTGTCTGGGAAGGGGGGCTGGGCCCTGAGCTCGTGTCCAGGACAGGATTCAGACAGAGAAGCACTTTCTCAGCTGTGACAAGACGGAAAAAGACTAGAACGAGGGCAGAAGCCGGTAGGTTTGGAGGTCGCAATGAGATGTGATAAGGCTCTTGTCTGCTATTCACGTGTTCTGCTGAGATACATGGCAAGATTCCATCTATGGGTGACACGGGGGACGGGGAGAAGGCGAGGGGAGGGTTGTAAAGCTGCTTGAGGGCTGAACTAACCACTTCAAAGGAAACTCAAGAAAAGCCGCCTCCTACTGAGGGTGGGGGTGCAGGTAACGGGAGTTCTCACCACGGAGGCCCCTGGGAGCTGCTTGAACAACTCAGACTGGAGGCTGAGGGCAACTGAGAGCCACGGAGGCACAGACACGAGAGAATCCTGGCTGCAAATGCCTCTCTGGTTGTGATGGTGGGTCCTTCCTGGAGGTCCCACCCTCACCGCGTCGTGCCCTGCCCAGGACAGGAAGCAGCCCCGCGGCCCCTACCTGTGCACACTGTCTTTGGGAAGCAGGAACGTCAGCCCTTCTCCGATGCTGGCCTCCAGGATGGCATTGGGGACGTGCTGGTAAATCAGACGTGTGAGCTCCTCAGTGTTACAGTACGGCTTCCGCACCACAGTCATGTAATAGCCAGCACCTGCAACCCCAGGGAGGGACCGTGAGGCAGCCCTACTCACGACACTTCCCTCGGCTCAGATGGAGCAGCTCCACAGAAAGGAAGGCCGGGGAGCCCTGGGGGCCACGGACACCCCACAAGAACTCGACCGGGAAGCTCCTCATTGCTGTTCTGCAGAGTCTGGCCCTCTGCTCCATAACTGGAGGTAGGAATGCTAAGCCCTGGGGCTCAATGGTTAAGCACTTGGCTGCGAACAAAAAGAGTCAGTGGTTCAAACCCACCAGCTACTCCATGTGCGAGCAATGTGGCCGTCTGCTTCTGTAAACACCACAGCCTTGGAAACCCTGGGGGCAGTTCCCCTCTGTCCTCTAGGGGCGCTGTGGGTCAGAATGGACTCCAGGCAGTGGGTGTGGTTTGAGCTTTGCTTCCATGAAGACTGACAGCCTTGGACACTCTGTGGGCAGTTCCACTCTGTCCTCTAGGGGCGCTGTGGACTCCAGGGCAGTGGGTGTGGTTTGGGCTTTGCGTCTGTGAAGATTGACAGCGTGGGAGACCCTGGGGGCAGTTCCACTCTGTCCTCTAGGGGCGCTGTGGGTCGCAATAGACTCCAGGCAGTGGGTGTGGTTTGGGCTTTGCTCCATGAAGACTGACAGCCTTGGAGACCCTGTGGGCAGTTCCACTCTGTCCTCTAGGGGCGCTGTGGGTTGGAATGGACTCCACGGCAGTGCATGGGTGGTTGGGCTTTGGTTCTGTGAAGATTGACAACCTTGGAGACCCTGTGGGCAGTTCCACACTGTTCTCTAGGGGCGCTGAGTTAGAATCGACTCCATGGCAATGGGTTTGTAAGGTAAAGAGGAAAAATATCTGCATAACCATTGCACTGTGTTTTTGAGGATACATACCTTATGGCACCAGCATGCGTCTGTCTGTCTGTCAGACTGTGGGGCCTTCCATGTTGCTGTGATGCTGGGAACTAGGCCACTGGTCAGAAATGATGCCCGAGATCAATGACCCCAGCAGGGTCCCCCATGGTGGACGGGTTTCAGCAGAGCTTCCAGACTAACAGACCAGGAAGAAAGACCTTATGACCTACTTCTGAAAAAACTGGCCACTGAAAACCTTATGAATAGCAAGGAAACACTGTCTGACACAGAGCAGGAAGATGAGCCCCTCAGGCTGGAAGGCACTCAAGATATGACTGGGAAGAGCTGCCTCCTCAAAGCAGAGTCAACCTTAGTGTCACGGATGGAAAAAGTTTTCAGGACCTTATTTGCTTATGTGCATGACTCAAAATGAGAAGAAACAGCTGCAAACAACCACTAATATAATTGGAACTTGGAATGTACAAAGAAAGTACGAATCCAGGAAAGTTGGACGTCATCACAAATGAAATGGTACACACAAAGATCGATATCCTCGGCCTTACTGTTGTTGATGTTAGGTGCTGTCGAGGCGTCTCTAACTCATAGTGGCCCCGTGAACAGCAGAACGAAGCACCACCCGGTCCTGAGCCAGCTCCACAATCCTTGCTGCACCTGAGCCGTGGTTGCAGCCACTGTGTCAGTCCACCCTGTTGAGGGCCTTCCCCTTCTCCACTGACCCTCCACTTCACCAAGCGTGAGATCCTTCTCCAGTGAACAGTCCCATCTGACAACATGACCAAAGTAGGTGAGAGGAAGTCTGGCCATTCTCGCTTCCAAGGAGCATTCTGACCGCACTCCTTCCAGGCACTAGTGAGCTGAAATGGACTGGTATTGGCCATTTTGAATCAGACAATGATAGGGGCTACTATGCTGGGAATGACAAATTGAAGAGGAATGGTGTCGCATTCATCCTCAAAAAGAACAATTCAAGAGCTATCCTGGAGTACAATGCTGTCAGTGACAGGATAACACCCATATGCCTACGAGGCAGACCAGTTAATACAACTGTTATTTAAGTTTACACACCAACCACTAAAGCCAAAGATGAAGAAACTGAAGATTTGTACCAACTTCCGATCAATCTGAAACTGATCAAACACACAACCGATACACCAATAATTACTAGGGATTCCAATGTAAAAATTGGAAACAAAGAGGAAGGATTGGTAGTTGGAAAATATGGTCTTGGTGACAGAAATGATGCCCGAGATCAAATGACAGAATTTTGCCAGACCAAAGACCTATTCATTGGAAATACATTTTTTCAACAACATAAATGGTGACTATCCTCACAGACTTCACTGGATGCAATACACAGGGATCAAATCTAATCAACTGCATCTGTGCAAAGAGATGATGAGAAGAAGCTCACCATCATTAGTCAGAACAAGGCCAGGGGCTGACTGTGGGACAGACCATCAATTGCTCATACACAAGTTCAAGCTGAAGCTGAAGACTATTAAAACAAGTCCATGAGAGGCAAAGCACGCCTTCGAGTCCATCTGCATGAATTTAGAGACCGTCTCAAGAGCAGATTGGATGCACTCAACACAATGACCAAAGACTTGTGACAACTTGTGGGGTGACATCAAGAACATTATCCATGAAGAAAGCCAAAGGGCATTGTGGTAGTTATGTTTGTGTGTCAACTTGGCTGGGCCTGGTTGAATGGCTGGGCAGCTGGTGGTAGTTATTCCCCATGATGAGACTGGCAATCAGTTCCATGGTGGGATCTAGCACAAGCAGCTGAGTAGTTGCCTTTGGGTATGTGGTCTGCTTCCTGTATATAAGCACCAGCTTTGGGGATAGTCTCTAGCCTATGGCACGCTTGGACCCTGCATGTAGCCGTGTCATTGCTCAGCAGCCTGCTATGCTCTGCCGACCTTGGGACTTACAATGACCTTAAGTTAATGGCCTGCCATGTGGTTTGGTAACATCGAAACTGTGCCCTTTTACTTGTTGACCTTGGGGCTTCTCAGCCTCAGCAGCCAATAGCTCTCTGAGTGAAGAAATGCCTCTAGGTCCAGTGGGCTGGGAGCAGGAGGCAGAGCTGGATCCCAAGGTTGAGGGGCTTTCACCCAACCCCTAGAGCCTGGGACTTTGAACATGGACTTAAAGCCTCCAAACTGTGAGAATAAACTCCTGTTTGTTAAGGCCACCCCATTGGTGGTGTATTCCTGTCAGAGTGGCACCAGGGAACCAGAAGAGGCAGTAAAAAGATGGACAGAAAGAAAAGGCCAACAAAGGTGTCAAGAGAAACCCTGGAACCTCCTCTTGAACAGAGCAGCTAAAGCAAATGGAAGAAAAGATGAAGTCAAAGAGCTGAACACAGGATTTCAAAGGGCGGTTTGAGAAGACAGAGTCAAGTGTTACAATGATACGTGCACAGACCTGGAGTTAGAGAACCAAAAGAGGAGAATACGCTCAGCATTTCTCAGGCTGAAAGAACTGAGGAAAAAAATCAAGCCTCAAATTGCAATACTGAGGGATTCTATGGGCAAAATATTGAATGAGCAGGAAATATCAAAAGAAGATGGAAGGAATACAGTCACTGTACCAAAAATAACTGGTTGACATTCAACCATTTCAGGAGGTGGCATATGGTCAAGAACCAACAGTATTGAAGAAAGAATTCCAAGATGCTCCAGGAATTGACGGAATACCCACTGAGCTGTCTGAACAAGCGGACGCAGCTCTGGAGGTACTCACTTGTCTATGTCGGAAAACTTGGAAGACAGCTAGCTACCTGAAAAACTAACCAGAAAAGATCCACATTTGCACCCATTCCAAAGAAAGGTGATCCCATAGAAATGTGGAAATGACTGAACAATATCGTTAATATCACACGCAAGTAAAATTTTGCTAAAGATAATTTAAAATGGTTGCAGCACTACATTGATAGGGAAGTGCCAGAAATTCGACTGTGATCATGGTGCCAAGCGGGGCAGTATTGATTCTATTGAACAGGGGCCACTATGCATTGATTCTGTTGAACAGGGGCCACTATGCGTTGATTCTGTTGAACAGAGGCCACTATGTATTGGAACTGACTGGGTGGCACCTAAGAACCACCATCTCAGCGTCCTAAACATCCTTTCTGAGGCGAATGCGGGCACTGTCATGCTGCTGGATCAGTCATTCAGCAAACGCCCCCTGAATCCCTGGGATCCTTTCCAAGGTGAACGTGGGCACTGTCACGCTGGTGGATCAGTCATTCAGCAAACGCCCCCCTGAATCCCTGGATCCTTTCCGAGGTGAACGCGCGCACTGTCACGCTGGTGGATTAGTCATTCAGCAAACGCCCCCTGAATCCCTGGGAATGGCAGGACAGGCACTGCTCTAGGAGCTGTGGTTACTGCAAACCAAACAGTCAAAACTACCAACTGTCGCAAAGGGCGGGGGACAAACAATAAACGAGGTAAATGAATACCACCTATAGACTGTGGGGTGAGAGGAGTCCCTGGGTGCAAACGGTTCACATGCTCAGCTGCCAACCCCAGGGCTGGAGGTTCGAGTCCGCCCAGAGACACCTCAGGAGGGAGGCCTGTGCTCAGCCTCTGACAAAGCAGCTGCTGGAAACCCCACGGGGCGGGGAGCACAGGCCGGCCCTGACGGACAGCTCGCCACCAGGCAGCACACGACTACCCTGACACACGGGCTTGCTGCCAGGTAGCACATGACTATTCGGACACACGGACTCGCCACCAGGCAGCATAGTTGTACTCTGGCATGGGCTTGATACCAGGAGGAGACGACTCGGCCCAGCTGCTTTTCAATAACGAGAAGGGCTATGGAGGAAAACACACAGGGAAGGGCTGGGTGTGCAGAGGTGTGGTGTTAAACAGGGCAAGGAGGGGAGGCCTCCCTGAGAAGGCGACATCTGTGTAAGCAGCTGAGCGGTGGCCTGAAGAGCGGCCAGCAGGAGGCACAGCACCGCGTGGGTCGAGGCGGAGCGTGGACCATGGTGCTGGCGCGGCCACGGGTCCAGTGGGCAGGAGCCCAGGGAGGCGGCAGTCTCAGGTCAGGATCAGGGTGACAAGCCAAGCCGAGTGCAGCCTAGGGGACCCTCTGAGGACTTTGGCTCTCGCTGAGTGAGAAGGCGGGAGACCGGAGGGTCAGAGCAGTAGAGGGACAGGCTTGTCTTGACACTGGGGTTGAGAACAATGTGAGGACGTATGAAGACACAGGCAGGGGCATGGCTCAGAGCTGGGAGTCGGTGGTCTAGGGCAGGGTCCAGCAAGTGGTCAGAGGTGGTGATAAATGGGCAGATCCAGGATATTTTTGGAGGAAGAGGCCACCAGGGTTTGTAGATGGGTCAAGTGTGTGGCTATGAGAGACATGAGTCAGGGCCACCAAAGTGTGGGGGAGCTCCTGGGAGGGACGAGCCACAGGTTCTGAGAAGAGGAAGCCTGGTGGGGGCCAGGTTTGGCTGGGGCTCGGGGCCTGAGGACGTCTGTGTAGAGACGAGAACAGCCAGGGGTGTGTGCGGGTGGTGTTCACAGAGAGGGCCGGGGGGGCACAGGTGTATCTCAGCTCAGAGAGGTATCTGAGTCACGAGACACGGAGATCAGGGCATCAGTCAGCAGGGAGAGGACACGTCCCCACTCAGAGGCAGGAGTGACACGTTCAGAGGCGGGACTGACCTGTTCAGAGGTGAGAGTAAGAGAAGTGGCAGCCTGGACACAGAGAGAGGATGACCAGCATCTCCGCCAGGCTCTGGGGCATCAGCTGGCATGGCGGGGGCTCAAACACACATCCACCGGCCCCTTCACCGCTGTCCCAAACCCCCTCCCGCCCGCCGGCCGGCGCTCACCGTACTTCTGCTTGAGGAACAGCGGCGACCCGCAGCACTGCAGCTCCCCCTTGGCCATGATGGCGATGCGGTCCCCCAGCAGGTCGGCCTCGTCCATGAAGTGGGTGGTCAGCAGGATGGTGCGCTCACTCTTCTGCTGCTGGAGCAGGTCCCAGATGGCCCTCCGGGAGACGGCGTCCATGCCCGACGTGGGCTCGTCCAGCATCAGCACCTGAGGGCGCGGGGCAGCCTGGTGGTGCCGGCAGGGTCCCGCCGGGTGGCCCACGGCCAAGTCCAGGGAGACACAGCCCAACTGCCCCACGCAGGTTTCCCTTCTGTGGTGCTGCTTGGGGGGCTGGCTGCCTGTGGTGAACGGGGTCGGGGTCGGGGGGTGTGCGGTGAACGGGTGCATGCGCACGAGGGGCCCTACCTTGGAGCCCGCGATGAGGGCGATCCCGATGGACAGCTTACGCCTCATGCCCCCGTTCAGGAGCCTGCTCAGGGAGTCCTGCTTGTCCTCCAGCTCCAGGACACGCAGCATGTGCCGGACCTCCGCCCAGGACTTGGCCAGTGACAGGCCCTTCAGCTGCAACGGGGGGCCACGGGGCGGTCGGGGGCTGTGACGGAGGCTGACCCCCTCAACGGGGGGGCCACGGGGCGGTCGGGGGCTGTGACGGAGGCTGACCCCCTCAGTTGTGGGGCCACGGGGCAGTCGGGGGCTCTGACGGAGGCCGACCCCCTCAACGGGGGGGCCACGGGGCGGTCGGGGGCTGTGACGGAGGCTGACCCCCTCAACAGTGGGGCCACGGGGCGGTCGGGGGCTCTGACGGAGGCTGACCCCCTCAGTTGTGGGACCACGGGGCGGTCAGGGGGCTCTGATAGAGGCCGATCCCCTCAACAGTGGGACCACGGGGCGGTCAGGGAGTTCTGATGAAGGCCGACCCCCTGAAACAAGCATTTTGCTTGTTTACAGGTAAAACAAGAGAGATACACAAGAAACTTACAGCCTTGAAGGGAAAGGATGCCAAAGGGCTTTTGTGTTTTGAACCACATAAGCATCCGACTTCCACAAAGCGAGTCCAGCAGTGAATTCACAGGATTAGACCCCAGGACCAAACAGGATCCCAGGAATGCCAAGGTTCAATGTGAACATCAGTCAGTGGAATACACCACATTAACAGAATGGAGGAAAAAGCCCGCATCGTCACCTCAAACAATGCAGAAAAGCACAACAGGCACAACTCTCGTGACAAAAACTTCCAACGAACGTTGAACAGAAAGGAACTTCCCAAACCTGATGAAACCCAAAGCCACTGCCCCAGAGGGTTTCCAAGGCTGTCGATCTTCACAGAAGCAGACTGCCTCATCTTTCTCCTGCAGAGCAGCTGGTGGGTTCCAACCCCAGACCTTCTGGTTAGCAGCTGAATTTTTTTTTTTTTTTTTACCAGGAAGAAAAGGCTTTTTATTTTGATTTGCATCTCTCTAATAGCTAATGATCTTAAGCATTTCTTCATATGTTTGTTGGTCGCTTGAATATCCTCTTTGGTGAAGTGTCTATTCATGTCTTCTGCCCATTTTTTAATTGGGTTGTTTGTCTTTTTGTTATTGAGGTGTTGGAGTTTTCTATAAATTCTAGAGATAAGTCCCTTGTCAGATACGTCATTACCAAGTATTTTTTCCCAATCTGTAGGTTCTCTTTTGACTATCAGAAATTAATATTGCCACTCCTGCTCTCTTACAGTTGCCATTTGCTTGATATATCTTTTTCCAACCTTTGATTTTTAGTCTATTTTTGTCTTTATCTCTAAGGTATGTCTCTCGTAGACAGCATATTGATGGGTTTTGTTTTCTTATCCAATTGCAAATCTCCATCTCTTGAGTGGAGCATTTAATCCATTAACATTCAGGGTAATTATTGATAAGTTTGAATTTGTTGCTGTCATTTTGTTACGTGTTTTTTCATGGTGTCCCTGGTTTCTTTGTTCCATATTATTTTCTGTGCTGAGCTCATTATGTTTATGAATCGTGTTATAATTTCCTTTGTTGCTGTTGTTTAGTTTATGCTGAATATTTGTGCTTGTCCTCTTTTTTATTGTGATGTGAAGGTTTATCATTTTTCTTTGAGGTTACCCTATGATTTATAATTTTCTCCTCAAGTTTAGAACAGTCCATTCTATCTTGCACCTCTCTTAACTTCCTCACCATTTAGAAGTTCTGTAACTACACAGTCTTTTCCCTCTTTTTGTTTGTAGTTGTCCTCACTTGCCAATTGATGTCTCTGGTTCCCTGTTTATAATCTTGTAAGCTCATTTTACTTTGGATATGTCCATAGCTGTGGTTTCTGGGTTATGTAATCTTGTGTATTAATGGTCTGTTGTTATTTACTATTTTTGGTTCTCTGTTCAAAGGACTGCCTTTAGCATCTCTTGTAAGGTTGGTCTGGTTTTAACAAATTCCCTTAGTTTCTGCTTATCTAGTAATCTCCTAATTTCACCATTATATTTGAGGGACAATTTTGACGGGTATATAATTCTTGGTTGAAAATTTTTCTCTTTCACGGCTTTATATATACCATCCCATTGCCTTCTTGCTTGCATGATTTCTGCTGAGAAATCAGAGCTTATTCTTACTGGCTGTCCTTTATAGGTAACTTTTTGTTTTTCCCATACTGCTTTCAGGATTCTGTCTTTGTCTTTGGTTTTGATGAGTTTGATGATGATGTGTCTTGGTGATTTTCTTTTGGGATCTATCCTGTTTGGGGTTCGCTGGACTTCCTGGATGGATACATTCTCATCTTTCATCATTTCAGGGAAGTTCTCCTCCAGCAAATCTTGGACAATTTTCTCAGTGGTTTTGTTTTTCTCTTCCTGTTCTGGAATTCCAATGACATGTAAGTTATTCCTTTTGATGGTATCCCACATGAACCTTAGGCTTTCTTAATTTTGTTTTGATTTTTTTTCTGATTGATCCCTTTCCAAAGAAATATTCAGGTATTTATCTTCAGTCTCATTAATTCTGTCTTCCATCACATCAATTCTTCTCCTTTGCCCTTCCAATGTGTTATCTATTTCTGACAATTTAGTATTAATCTTTTGGATTTCTGTCTGTAGATTTAGCATAATTTCTAATTTTTCATTTATTTTGTCATTTTGTTCTTGTATTTTCTCCCCAAAATTCTTCCAAGTTTTTTTCTGTGTTTTCTTTGGTCTGTCTCTCAATCCTTTGAAGATACCTAAATATAGTTCTTTTGAATTCCTTATCAGAGAGTTCCAATGCTGCTTCTTCCTCAGGGATGTGTTCTGGGTCTGTATCCTGCTCCCTTGTTTCTACCACTTTATCCTGCTTCTTTGTGTGGACTGTGATGGTCTGTTGTTTCCGAGGCATCGTGGCACTGTTGTATTTAGATCTCTGTTAACTGTTTGTGAAGAGCAGCCAAGGGTGATTCAGGCTTTTCTTGGTGTTTTTTTTTATCGTTGGCCCATTGGTGGAAAAGGAGGTAGTGGCTCTCATTCAGTAAGTGAAGTTGCAGGAGGTGTGGGTGTAGTTGTGTCTCATTGGGACTGTTGCTGTCTCCCACTCAGTTAGACAAACATTACAATTAAATAACCAAGAAAAAACTAAAAGCACATGGACAAAAAACACACCATGTAATCACACAGGAACAGTAACCAAAAAAAGAAAAAAGGGAAAAAGAAGAAGAAAACACAAGAAAACCTGCAATATCTGGGGATAGGGCACTAAGAGAAAAAAGGTAGAGAAGGAGAATATGAAGGAAAAAGAATGGGAAAAATGAAAAAAGAAAAACAAGGAACAGGGTTAACCAAGAGAAAAAAGGGGGGGGGAAAGAAAAACACTTAAAAAAAAAATTAAAACCAGGAACAGGGAAAGGAAAAAATGCTGAAAAGATTGAGAATAATAGTAAAAAGGACCAAAGTATTAATAATAATAGTTGTTTTAAAACAGACAAATACAAGCAAACTAATCACCAGAAAAAATAAAGTGAAAAATAAAAAGAGAGGGAAAAAAAAAATCGGTGGAGGACGGCAGGGCACCCAGGCTCCGTCTGAGCACACAGACTGTGATGGAGTTCCTATGGACCCAGAAGGTAGGTGGGAGTGGGGGATGGCCGCACCTCCATTCACCAAGCAGGTGTGGGATATAAGAGTAACAAGAGGAATGTCGTACCTTTTCAGTCTTGCAGGTCTGGAGTGTCCTTGGGGTTGCTGGAAAGCAGAACGTGTTCTTAAGCCCCAGGAATCTGCGAGAGCGCTGTTTCTTTAAATATCCAAAATAGTCAAGCTGCTTTTAAACATTCAAAATGGCGGCGCCCTCCAGACCAGCAAAAGTCCACAGCTCCGCCTGCCTTTCTCTTTGCCTTCTCCGTTTATTCCCCAGCCACCAGAGCAGTCCTCCATGCAGACCCTGGCTAGCAGGGCTGATTTTTAGATTAATTCTTAGGTCTTACCACCACTTGGGAATCTCCAAGCTGCCTGTGCCATGCCGTCAGGATCGCTGCCAGACCGCAGCTCCCTCTGACTCCTTTTTCAGTATTTTCATGCAAATTCTTCTGCTAGTTGGGGTTTAGTCCACTTCTATATCCTTCCCTTCAAGGCTCAGGGGTACAGGATTATCTTCTAGGTCGGTGTTAATTGGTTTCCCTTTTCTTTGTTGAAGAGGGTCTGTGCAGTCTTTCTGCCTAGTCCGCCATCTTACCAGAACTCAGCAGCTGAACATTTTAACCACTGAGACACCACAGTTCCTTAACCTGCCAGAAGGTATCAATAAAAAACACACACCTAACATCATATTTCATGGTGAAAATAGACGGCCAGCAAAAAAGACTGAAAACTCCCCCTAAGATCAGAACAAGTAAGTGTTCTGGAACCCTTAACTGAGCTCATGAGGAACCTGCACATAGACCAAGAGGCTGTTGTTTGAACAGAACAAGGGATGCTGCGTGGTTTAAATCAGGAAACCAGGTTGCTGCTGTTCCTCTAGCAGAAGTACGATGAGCACCAGCCGGTGGGCACGGAGAGGGTTTGCGACAACAGTGAAGGAGTCAGCGGATGTGTGTTTGAGCCCCACCCCTGCCAGCTGATGCCCCGCAGCCTGGCGGTGACACATCAGGTTGCGTCAGGGTTGTATCCCTTCACCATACTTATTCAACTGGTGTGCTAAGCACATAATCTGCGAAGTTGGAACTGTTTGGAGAAGAGCATGGCACCAGGACTGGAGGAAGACTCGTTAACACTCTGAGATACACACGTGACACAACGTTGCTGCAAATGAAGATGACTGACGATTGGAGACTTTAGGCCTCCAGATGGATTACTTCAACGTAAAGAAAACACAAACCCTTCCAACTGGACCAGTAAGCAGTATAATGATAAACAGAGAAGAGAGTAAAGTCGTAAGGATTTTGTTTCACTTGGATCCACAATCCACGTCCATGGAAGCAGCAGTCAAGAAATCGGATGATATATTGCATTGAACAAATCTGCTGCAAAAGACCTCTTTACAGGGTTAGAGACTCAAGATGTCACTGTGAAGACTAAGGTGCGCTGCACCCAAGCCATGGTATTTTCAATCACCTCATATGCATATAAAAGCTGGGCGATGATTGCGGAAGAAGCATTGCGGCCCTGAATTACGGTGCTGCTGAAGAATGAGGACTGCTCTGCGGACTGCCAGAAGGACAAGCAGGTCTGTCCGGGATAAAGTACAGCCAGAACGCGCCTCGGGAGCTAGGACGGCGAGAGTGTCTCACGCACTTCAGACATGTTGTCAGGAGGGACCTGTCCCTGGAGAAGGACAGCACGCTTGGTGAAGGAGAGGGTCTGCGAGAAAGAGGAAGACCCTCAACGAGACAGACGGACACAGTGGCTGCAATGGTGAGCTCAGGTACAGCAGTGATTGTGAGGCTGACGCAGGGCCCGGCAGGGTTTCGTTCTGCGTGTTGCTAATAGCTGGACGCAACTCAACAGCACCTGACAACAGCCACCATCTCAGACAGCACGGGGATGCCCGCAATTGTATTACATGTCGCACCAGAAGTTCTAGTACAAGGGAAGGAAGAAGGGAAATCCTGTCTTTTTGCAGGTGATACTATCTGTATGCAGAAAATCTGAACCAATCCACAGAAAACTATGAGAGCTAGTAAATTAATTCAGCAAACTTACAGGACATAAGATCAATATACAAAAATCAGTTTCTATATACTAGCGATGAACAAGGTGAAGAAAAAACTCCACTTACAGCAGCAAAACTAGGAGTAAATTCCTTAGGAATAAATGTAACCACAGAAGTACAAAACTTATACCCCTCAAACTACAAAACACTGTTGAAAGAAATTAAAGAAGATCTAAGTAAACGGAAAGATACCCTGTGTTCAAGGATTGGAAGACTTAATACTGGTAAGATGGCAGTGCTTCCCACATTGATCTAGAGTCGAGACAATCCCTATCAAAATCCAATGACTGTTGCTTTCAGAAATGGCGAGCTGATCCCAAAGTCAATGAAAAATGCAAGGGACGCAGAACAGCCAAAAGAATCTTGTCAAAGCACAAAATTATTGGAAGACTCGTACTTCCCAATCAGAAACTTTCTCCACAGTGACAGTGTGTCTTAGCATAAGGGGAGACACATTTGCACATGGAATGGAATTAAAAGTCCAGAAATAGCCCTCACATTTAAGGGCAATCAATTTCTGACAAGCACACCAAGACCTTTAATGGGGAAAACAGTGTTTTCAACAAATTGTGCTGGACTGCATGTCCACATTCAATAGAGCTGGACTGCTCCCTCAAACCATATACAAAATCAACTGAGATGGAGCAAAGATCTAAATTTAAGACTTAAAACCGTGCAGTTCTTAGAAGAAACAATACCTCTCTGTCACAGTTCACAAAGCAATGCTTCACGAAGCCACTCTTCGTGACCCTGGATCAGGAAATCCTTGGTTAAAGTAGGACACCAAAAGCACAAGCAACAAAAGCAAACAGATAAACTGAACTTCATTAAAATTTTAAATATTTTTTATCAAAGAACGAGATCAAAAAAAGTGAAAAGACAATCCATAGAATAGCAGAAAATTTTTGTAAGTCATATTATTGGATCAGGAGCTTGAACCCAGACCCCCACCCTCACTGCCATTCAGTTGGATCCAACTCACAGAGACCCGTCCTTGGGTTTCCGAGGCAGTATCACTATGGAAGTAGATTGCCCAACCATCCTTCCTAGGAGTAGCTGGTGGGTTTGAACCACCAGCCTTCTGGTTAAGGTATTAACAATAATTTCACAACTCAACAATAAAATCATAAATAACCCAATTCAAAAATGGCAAAGGACACACACAGACACTTGTCCAAAGAAGATACCCTAAGTAGCCAATAAGCACTGGCATAACATACTACACAAAACATCGTTCCACATCCTACTGTGGTGAGTAGCAACTGGGATCTTAAAAGCTTGCAAGCGGCATCTAGATTCAATGATGGTTCTCGCCTCGTCCAGAGCAAAGAAGAATGAAGGAAACCAAAGATGCATGGAAACAGTTAGTCCAAGTGACTGGTATACCATGCGATCTGTAGCCTATACAACTATGAGACCAGAAGAACTAGATGGTGCCCAGCTACCACTGTCAACCACTCAAAGAGGGATCTGTGTAGGAGATCCTGGACAGAGTGGGAGAACAATGTGAAAAAAATTCAAAATTATTTAAAGAAAAGAAAAATGGATCAGGTTTGCTGGTGTGATAGAGCCTGATGGAACCACTGAGACTATGGCCCCTAGCTGCCCTTCAGGTCTGGAATTGAACCCACACCTGTGGCTTCCAGCCAAACAAAAGACAGGCATATGAGTTGAACATTTACCTGAGGTAGATACACCCCTTGGAGAGAACAATCATGGGAGAAAGAAGAGCTGTGTGTGCACAGGGAGACAGCTCAGGGGGCAGGAGTGCATGGAGGGGTGGACACAGGGAAGAGGTAACTATGGGGAGGAAGTGAGAGGGGAGCTGTTGTCTTGTGGTAAATTGTAGTCAATGTCAAGAGACAAAGTGTATGTAAGCTGCTGTATGGAAAGTGAATTTGCTCTGTAAACTTTCACCCAAATCACAATTAAAAAAAAAAAAAAAAGCCAGTAAGCACATGAGGAAATGCTGAGCATCAGGAGTTACCAGGAAATGCAAACCAAAGCCACAAGGACAGACCACTTCACCCCCACCAGGCTGGCTGCCACATTAGAAAGGAAGGAAGGGGAAGAGGAAGAGAAAGGAGAAGCAAAGGAAGGAAGGGAGAAAAGGAAAAAGAGGCAAAGATACCGAGTTTGGTGAAGATACAGGGAAAGCGGGACTCTCATCTGTTGCTGGCGAGAAGGTAAAGTGACCCATCTGCTGTGGAAAACAACGTGGCAGTTCCACAGAGCTAGTGCATGAGCCAGCAACTCCACTCCTGGTATCCACCAAGAGAAATGAAATTGGACGTTCACACAAAAACATGCACACAAAGTTCACAGCAGCACCATGCGTTATGGCCATCAGTGGATGAATGAATGACCCAGCTGTGGTCTCCACACAATGGACCATCATGCAGCCATAAGCAGGAGTGAGATACTGACACACGGCATGACACAAAGGAGCCTGCAACATGCAGGACAGGCCGCACCGTCTGATTCCATCGCCATGCAATACGCAGAGGAGGATGAGACAGAAAGGGATCTGTGGTTGCTGCGGGCTGGGGACAGGGTCAGGAAGGGTACAATGCTTCTTCTGGGTGGATGGAAATGTCCCGGATTTCGGGAGAGGTGAGGCTGCACAACGTCGTGAAGATGCTAAAACCACGGGAAGGCCCACTTTTGTAATGGGTAAAATGGTGAATTTTATGTTATGTGAATTTCATGACAATAACATAAATCATACCATAAACACACAAAACTACAATGATTGCTTTAGAAACTCTTTAACTCAGGAGTCTTGACTTCAGTGCCACTGCCCTCCCCACCTGACCCCAGATGCTCAGAGAAACGCGTCTGGAGGTTTTGAGACCTTCCCAGGTTGAGAACTGCAGGCCACCTCGCTGCCCCAGGAGCCGGCTCACCTGGGCATAGAAATACAGGTGCTCTGTCACGGTCAGGTCATCAAACAGGATGTCATGCTGGGGACACCAGCCCAAGCCCTTTCGAACTTGAGCCGTATCTTCCGAAATTTTGTGGCCATTGATATAAACCTGGCCACGTGAAGGGGGGAGGAGACCTAGAACGAATGAAGACACATCCCCGGGTCACTGGCAGGCAGAGCACACAGTGAGCGGACCGGCGCGTCTGTTCATCTCTTGCTGACCGCGTCCCTGTGCCGTCTACTAGCCGACCACCTGAACAATGCTGGTATTGGCTGCCCCCTGGACTGCACGGCCGGGAGCTCCAGCTGGACGACCTTTTAGGCAGCAAGGGCCTCACAAGTCTACTGAGGAAAGGAGGTCTTCCCTAAATGCTAATGGTCACTGCCAGAGGTAACGAGGCCTGTGCCTGAGAGAGTACCACGCCCCAGAGACAATACTGTGCACCAGTTGAGGAGATGGGTGTGTGTGGGCTCAACTGTAGACCCCAACCGGCCCACCAAGTAAGTATGTGCTGGGCCTGACTGTTACAGTCCTGGCTCCAGAGGGGGAGCCCAGGCCCCACGGACCCACCACACTCCTCGACTGCCACCAAAAAGTCTCTCTGGAAAGGACATCTGCAAGCCACAAGGAGCGATGGGGTGAGCTGGCTGGGAGGGCCAGGGACCTCCCTGCCGTGCTCTGCAAATGGGAAGAAGTGTGTGGGGGTTGGGAGGACCTTAGTCTGTACCCAGCTTTGCATGCTTGTTGTCACCATGTTCACAGCACCCCTAGAGGACAGAATGGAATTGCCCTAGAGGGTTTTCAAGGCTGTCAGTCTTCCTGGAAGCCCAAACCACACCCACTGCCATGGAGTCCACTCGGACCCACAGTGCCCCTAGAGGACAGAATGGCACTGACAGGTAGAACTGCCCCTGGGGTCCCCTAGACTGTCATCTTCATGGGAGCGGATCCCCAGGACTCTGGACTCTCCCTTGTGGAGCCCTGATGGGTCCGAATACCCAGCCTTCGGTTAGCAGTTGCACCACAAGGGCTCCTTAGTCACTGAGCACAGGGTAAAAACATCTAACTGAAAGCCTGACACCAGACTGGTCCTGGAAACGCGTGAGGGGAGCCGGAGCGGACATCGAGCCCTAGTCCAGGACTCCGTGCCCCACCCCCCAGCTGGCAGCACACACCTGTGAGCATGGAGCAGGTGGTGGACTTCCCTGCTCCATTGTGTCCCAGAAGAACAGTGATCTGCCCCCTGTACAGATTCATGGTCAGGTCCCTGACTGCCACATTCTGGCTCCTTCCCGTGTGGAACACCTGTGGAGGAGACTGTCGTGATTGGCCCCGTGACAGGCACACATGGGGTCACTTCTGGAGCACCTGCCCTGCCATGTGCCCACACTCACTTTCCGTCCTCGCTCATCAGTGTGAGGATAGGTGGAAGTGTAAAAAGGGAGCTGACAGCTACCCAGAGGGAGCCAGCGGACAGACCTGCAGGCTCGGGACCATGGTCACAGGGGACATCAAGCTCAACTGGCATAACATACTACACAAACGCTGTGGCACATCCTACTATGGTGATTAGTGACTGGAATCTAAGCTTGCAAGCAGCCATCTATATGCAACGATGGGTCTCTCCTTGTCTAGAGCAAAGAAGAATGAAGAAAACCAAAGACGCACAGAAACAATTAGTCCAAGGGACTGGTACACCATGCGATCTGCAGCCTATATGACTATGAGACCAGAAGAACAAGATGGTGCATCTGTCAACTGCTCAGAGGGGGATCTATGTAGGAGATCCTGGATAGAAAGGGAGAACAATGTGGAACAAAACTGAAAATAAAATTTAAAAAAAGGGACCAGGTTTTCTGATCTGATGGAGCCTGGTGGAACCCCTGAAACTATGCTGCCCTTCAGATCTGCAATTGAACCCACTCCTGCAGCTTCCAGCCAAACAAAAGACAGGCACATGAGCTGACATTAGGGACATACACTCCATGCAGAGCTCAATCATGGGAGAATAGAAGGACTGTGTATGCACAGGGAGACAGCTGGGGTGGGGGCAGGAGTGCATGGGAGGGAAGGACTCAGGGAAGAGGTAACTACGCGAAGGATGTAGGAGGGGAGCTGCTTCATTGTGGGAAATTGCATTCAATGTCATGAGACAAAGTGTATGTGTGTGCTGCTGTATGGAAAGTGAATTTGCTCTGTAAACTTTCACCCAAATTACAACAGAAATTTAAAAAAAGCTGGGGGGTGGGGAGGAGCTGAACAGCCTAGAGCTATAGACTGGAAGAAATCCCACGGGGCCTCGCAGGGGTCCCTGGAACTTGGCACATGGAACCTGAACCCAGGAAGAACTCAGGGTGACAAGCTTGGAACACAAGTGGGGCCTTCTCTTCTGACACTGAGAGACAAGCCTTGTTCTGTGTCGTTGGGTGGAATTAAAATACTCCATCACAAAAACGTAACAAGCTCTGGTAGCGCAGTGGTTAAAAGCATTTGGCTTTAACAAAACCATCAATCAAAAGGTTGACAGTTTGAACCCACTAGCTACTCCATGAGAGAAAAATGAGGCAGTCTGCTTCCATAAAATTAAACCAAAACCAAAAAAATCCGGACCCTGCACACAGTCAAGTCTTCATACAGCAGCCTGCCATGCACTGCCAATCTTGGGATTTTTAATGGACTTGAATTAGTGGCCTGCCATGTGCTTTGGTGATATTGGGACTATGCCTTTTCAATTGTCAACTTTGAGCTTGTCAGCCTCAGCAGCCAGCAGCTGTCTGAGTGAAGAAAAACCTCTAGCTTCAGTGGGCCAGAAACAAGAGGCAGAGCTGAAGCCCAAGGTCAAGGGGCTTTCACACAGCCCCCAGAGACTGCCACTTTGAACTTGGACTTATAGCCTCCAAAAATGGTAACGATAAATTCCGGTTTGTTAAAGCCATCCTATCTGTGGTATTTTCTGTTAGAGCAGCACAGAGGTAACCAAAACAGAGTGTGGTACCAAGAGAGTGGGGTGCTGCTCTGATACCTAAAATGTGGAAACAGGAGTGGAGTGCATCCTTGACCCGAGACCCTGGCAGAGAGAGCCCGGCATGCGGCATGAGCGGCGGCAGGAGCAGAGCCGAGACCAGCATGAGACAGTGATAGCCTTACCAGCCCAAAGAGGAGAAAGCTGGATGCCACTGGGTAGGTGGCTTCCTGATAGAGTGGGTTCCCTTCAGGCATTAATTGGTAGAGGAGACCAGCATGAGACAGAGTAGCAGGTTGGCCAGCCCACGGGGCAAGAAAGCTGAGTGTCCTTTGGGCAGGAGATTCCCGGTGGAGTGGGTTGCCTCAGGCATTAATTGGCAGAAGCGGTGAGACCAAGGAAACTGGAAGCAGAGCTGCCTCAGCCTCAAGGGTAAGACCATGGGCTTTGGGGGTAGAACCACCATAGCCTCCTAGGTGTCAAAGAGCCAGGCCTTCACCAACTTGGTTCTGGAAGGTGGGGCTGCTTGTTCATGTGGGCCAGTGGGATGGAGCCATAGCCTTTACCCAAGAGTGAGGGGGCGGGGCTGCCACAACCAAGAGGCAGAGGAACGGGACCCACCAGGTCAAGGGGTGAGATTGCCATTCAGAGGAACAGGGAACTAGAGCCACCCAGTGAAAAAGATCTGAACAGATGCCACCCAATGAAGGTCTATATAGGTGTCAAGTTGACAAGGGGTGGAATTGTGGTAGTGAAGGTTGGTGTCAGCCTGGCGGGGCCTGGCTGAGTGGCTGGGCAGCTGGGTGTCGTTGTTCCCCAGGGTGAGCTCGGCAGTCAGCTCCATGGTGGGATCCACTGGAGTGGCTGAGCAGCTGCTTTAGGAATGTGGGCTGCTTCCAGTGTGTAAGAAGCAGCTTTGAGGAAGGTCTCCAGCTTTTTGGCAAACTTGAGCCCTGCATGTAGTTGAGTCTTTATTCAGTAGCCTGCCATGATCTGCTGACCTTGGGACTTTGAACGGACATGAATTAATGGTCTGCCACATGGTTTGGTAGCATTGGAACTGTGCCTTTTACTTGTCAACCCTGAGTTTGTCCGCCTCAGCAGCCAGCAGCTGCCTGAGTGAAGAAAGCCTCCAGCTTCAGTGGGCCGGGAGCCAGAGGCACAGCTGACGCCCAAGGTCGAGGGGCTTTCACCCAGCCCCTAGAGCCTGGCGTTTTAAACTTGGACTTATACCTTCCAAAATCGTAAGAGAATAAACTCCTGTTTGTTCAAGCATCCTATTTGTGGCATATTCCTATCGGAGGAGCACTAGGTAACTAGAACAGAATATGGTACCAGGAGTGGCCCTGCTCTGACACATAACTGAAATGTGGAAACAGGAGTGGAGCCATCAATCTTATAGCCTTGAAAACCTTATGGGGCAGTTCTACTCTGTCCTCTAGGGTTGCTATGAGTTGGAATCAACTCGATGGCAGTGGGTTTGGTTTTTGGTTTTTCACAGAATATGATTTTTTCCAACAACATAAATGGTGAATATATATATGGGTTTAACTGAGAGGAGTACACAGTAATCAAATTGACATATCTGTGGAAAGAGTCGAGGGAGAAGCTCAAATTGTCAGAACAAGGCCAGGTCTGACTGCAGAACAGAGCATCTATTACTCATATGCAAGTTCAAGCTGAAGCTGAAGAAAATGAAAACAAGCCCATAAGAGCCAAAGTACAACCCTGAGTCGACCCATCTAAATTCAGAGACCACCTGAAGAACAGCTTTGATGCACTGAACACCAGTGATCGAAAACCAGATAAGCTGTCAGATAACCTCAAGAGCAGGAAGCAAACAAAGTTTATTAAAAATATAAGAAAGGAAAAAAAAGACCAAAATGGATGTCAGGGTGGACAGGCTGAAGGATCAGGCAGAGAGGTGTGTGCCCAGGACCATGCATAGGGTTGGCAGACAATGTTTCCCCATGCATGTTTGTATGCGCTGTAAGAACATCCAGGTGTACAGTACAGCTGACAAGAGCCAAGGTTGTGGTGGCTTCTTGGCCACAGCCAGCTACCCTGAGGGAGCGAGTAGCTGGACCTGTGGGCTCAGGACCATGGTCACAAGGGACACCAAGCTCAACTGGCATAACATATTACAAAAAAACACATTGTTTTACATCCTACTTTGGTGAACAGTGACGGGGGTCTTAAAAGCTTGCAACCAGCCATCTAGAGGCAACAAAGGGTCTCTGCTTGTCCAGAGCAAAAAAGAATGAACAAAACCAAAGACACATGGAAACAATTAGTCCAAGAGACTAGCAGACCATCGGATCCTCAGCCTATACAACCATGAGACCAGAACTAGATAGTGCCCAGCTACCACCATCAACCACTCAGAGAGGGATCAATGCAGGAGATCCTGGATATGGTGGGAGAACTTGTGGAACAAAATTCAAAATCATAAAGAAGACCAGGTTTGCTGGTCTGACAGAGTCTGGTGCAACCCCCAATACTAGTTACCCTTCAGGTCTGGAACTGAATCTGTTCCTGTGGCTTCCAGCCGAACAACGGACAGGCACATGGGGTGAACATTTACATCAGATAGATCTACTCTTTGGAGTGATCGTGGGAGAACATAAGGGCAACTCAGGAGGCAGGAATGCATAGGAAAGAATGACACAGGAAAGAGGTAACTATGGTGGGAGGTGGAAAGAGAGCTGCTACACTGTGGGGAATTGCAGTCAATGTCATGAAACAAAATATGTACGAACTGCTGTATGGAAAATGAATTTGCTCTGTAAACTTTCACCCAAATCACAATTAAAAAAAAATTGTAGCAGTACATAGACAGGGAACTGACAGAAATTCCAGCTGGATTCAGAAAAGGCTGTGGAATGAGGGCTATCATTACTGATGTCAGATAGATTTTAGCTGAAAGTAGAAAATGCGAGAAAGATGTTTACCTTGCCTTGTTGACCATGTAAATGCATTTGACTGTGTGGTTGTTGTTATGTGTCATGGAGTCATATCCGACTCATAGCGACCCCTTCTTGGGTTTCTGAGGTGGTATCACTACACAAGTAGATTGCTCAACCTTCTTTCTGAGGAGTGGCTAGTGGGTTTGAACCACCAGCCTTCTGGTTAGCAGTCAAGTGCCTTAAGCACTACACTACCAGAGCTCCCTGACTGTGTGGGTCATAATAAATTATGGATAACACTGTGAAGAATGAGAATTCCAGAACATTCAATCATGCTCTTAAGGAATCTGCACATAGACCAAGAGGCAGATGTTCAAACAGAACAAGGGCCTACTGTGTGGTTTCAAATCAGGAAAGATGTGCATCAGGGCTGTACCCTTTCATCGTACTTATTCAATCTGCATGCTGAGCAAATGATCCAAGAAGCTAGACTATGTGAAGAAGAACCTGTCATCAGGATTGGAGGAAGACTCATTAACAACCTGTGATATGCAGGTGACACAATCCTGCTTGCTGAAAGTGAGGACTTGAAGCTCTTAGTGATGAAGCTCAAAGAGCACAGCCTACATTAGGGATGAGGAAGACCAAAGAACCGATGCGTCTGACTCACGGCGGTGGTGAAGAATATTGACTGTACCATGGACTGCCAGAAGAACGAACAAATCTGTCTCAGAAGGACAGCCCGAATGTCCCTTGGAAGCAAGGATGGTGAGGCGTTGTCTCACGTACTGTGGACCTGTCCACGCTCGGTAAAGCAGAGGGTCAGCGTGGAAGCTGAAGCCCTCACCAGACACTGACGCAGCGGCTGCACAACGGGCTCAAATACAGCAGCGACTGCGGGGACGGGGCAGGCCTGGGCCGCGTTTCCTTTGGCTGCACACGGGGCTGCTGTGAGTCAGAAGTGACGCCACGGCCCCTAACACAGGAACAATGATCATGAAATGAACAGGGAACCACAGTCAGAAAGAACAGAGGCCTATACGGCCCACTCCCTGAGCGGTTGGGAAGATTTCACAATGGGTACCTTGTACAGATGCTGGATTTCAACGCTTTTCATCAAGCCAACTGGCTCTTCTTGAAGAAACTTCTTCAGAGCAGGCTTGGAATGCCCGACTTGCAGCACTGAGTTTGCAAAAGGTATGGGTTTCCCTTGCCAGTAGGAGGGCTGGAGAGGAAGCCAACAGATACATTAGTACATCTACGTAAACAGATTCTCTTTTTCTGGAAACTAAAGATTTGGGTAAATTCCTTTTTCCATGGACTCCAGACTTTCTGGAGCCACTGAAGTGGGATGAATTCATGAAACTATTGCCCTGAGATAATCCTTAAACCTTAAACCAAAATATTCCAGGAAATCTTTCCACCGAACGACAGTTTCCCTTGACGAGTGACAAGGTCTGCCTGGAGCACCGACTCCGTGGGATCAAGCCGCCAACAGCACCTTGAGAGGTGAGAGCGGCAGTGAGGTGGTGCTAACGCCGGAGAACGGCTCAGCGAGCGGGTGAGAAGGGCTGTACGGCTCCAAGAGCGGAACCAGAGCCCCGGAGCCGAGCACAGAGACGGCTGAGCTGCCCTGAGTTTAGCTGTGAGCGTTCTCAACAACGAAATGTGAAAAAGTTCCCTTCCCGAGTTTCTCTGTTGGATTATTTAATGGCGCCTAGAGGAGCTCTGGTAGCATAGTGCCTAAGGCACTTGACTGTTAACCAGAAGGCTGGCGGTTCAAACCCACCAGCCACTCCTCAGAAGGAAGGTTGGGCATTCCTACTTCGGTAGTGATACTGCCTTGGAAACCCAAGGAGGGGTCACTATGAGTCGGGGCTGACTCGATGGCAAACAACAACAACAACGAAGTAACCCGTCCACGGACTGGCCGCTAACGAACCGCATTCCCGCCCCCAGCCATGGTCCCGAGGATGGAGCAACACATCCTACCGTCACCCCCAGGGCCCTGGGGTGCCGTCCTGGGGGCAGGCAGTGTCCCTGTGGGCTGGGGAAAGGCAGCATCTCCCACTTATCCATGTCTCCAACCTCCAAGGAAGGGGGCTGAGGAGGACAGCTGAAGACCCATGTCACTCAGCAGAGGCCACCAAGCGAGGACTGAATCAGGTATGATGACACTGACCATTAGAAAAGTGTAGGCATCACAGGTGAGAAGTGCCTATGGGAACTGGGGGTAGGTAAAGGCTGCCCCTGGGCTCACAGGGCCTCTGCTCAGCCCCGACCCGATGCTCCCGCATGGTGGGTGATGCTGGGGTGGGGGCGGGCCTGACCTTGGCAGGCACCCAGGGAGGAACCCACCACTGCACTGGTGGCACGATGCCCACCGGCGACCACGGCCGACGGGCTGCGGGGGGATCCAGGGCAGAGCCTCCCTGGAGTTGCAGACTTCACACAGGACCCCACGAAGGAGCACTGGGACTCACCATGGCAAAGAAGTACCAGGGCCTGGACGTGCCATACTGCCCTGGGAAGACGGACTCCAGGTACCAGGCCACTAGGCCGTACAAGAAGGAATCAAGCAGCAGCATCAGCAGCACCTGAGTGAGGTTGAAGTCTCCACTCACACGGCCCATGTTCCTCCACTGCAGGCCCACACCTGGGGAGACAGGAGAAGAGGTTCTCCACCAGCACGCGAGACAGAGAGGAGGTCCGGCACCCACACTTCCTCATTAAGGCAGCGGGGCCAGGCCAAGGGCACAGCCCACAGCCTGACTGTCTGTGCCTGGGCATGTAGGGACGGACACAGGAAAGAGAAGTGCGGTTTCTCCCAGGAGAAAAAACATTTTCAGTGTTGCCAGCAGGCGGCAGTGGTTTTAGCAGCACTGGGAAGTGAGGAGCTCAAGGACTTGGGGATCTGAGACTCACCTCCCGGCTTCCGCACGCGGCCTGTGGGCCTGCCGCCCCTCCTCACCTTCCTGCTCGGTTAATTCTTCCTTCAAAGGCCAGCACAGCCCTCTCCTTACCTGAGAAGCATGCACACCCACTTCCCAGACAAGGAGATGCCCACCTGTGCACCTCGGGGTGCCGTGCACTCACTCTGACGGCAAAGCTTCCTGGATGGCGGTGTGAATCTGCTCACTTACTGCTCTCCTGAGGCCAGGGGCCTCGACTCAGCACAGCAGCGACAACATCGCGCACAGAGCCTCGTGTGCAGCAGACACTCGAAACCCAAAAGCAGACCCACTGTCGCTTCAGTTCTGACCCACAGCACCCCTAGAGGACAGGGTGGAACTGCACACAGGGTTTCTAAGGCTGTAATCTCTATGGTAGAGTAGTGCCTAAGGCACTTGACTGCTAACCAGAAGGCTAGCTGTTCAAACCCACCAAGCACTCCTTGGAAGGGAGGTTGGGCAATCTACTTCCCTAGTGATACCGCCTCAGAAACCCAAGAAAGGGTCGCTGAGTCGAGTCCGACTTGAGGGCACATAACAACAAACAACAATCTTTTTGGAAGCAAAGCCCAAAACCACACCCACTGCCGTGGAGTTGATTCCGACCCACAGCACCCCTAAAGGACAGAGTGGACCTGCCCCACAGGGTCTCCCAGGCTGTCAATCTTCACAGAAGCAAAGCCCAAGCCACACCCACTGCCTGGAGTCCATTCTGACCCACAGCGCCCCTAGAGGACAGAGTGGAACTGCCCACAGGGTCTCCAAGGCTGTCAATCTTCACAGAAGCAAAGCCTAAACCACACCCACTGCCCTGGAGTCCATTCTGACCCACAGCGCCCCTAGAGGACAGAATGGAACTGCCCACAGGGTCTCCCAGACTGTGAATCTTTACAGAAGTGGACTGCCTTATCTTTTTCCTGCAGAGTGGGAGACATTCAATACATTCTTAGTCTATGAATAAACAAAAGTACTGAGGAAAGGCTGGGACCACCTCCCGGGTGCGTATGGAGATATGGACCCTAAGTGGTGCCCAAGTGTCTGATGGAAGTACAAGCTGACCACACTCACTCATCTCAAGCATCCATGACACCGGACAGCTGGTGCCGCCCTGCTCGGACACGCTGGGTGTTAGTGAGTTGATCCTCGACTCACAGCCGCCCCACGTGACAGAGAAGAGCTGCCTTAGAGGGTGTCCCACGCTGTGATCTTTACGCATGTGGGCCACCAGGTCCTTCTCCTGAGGAGCCGCTGGGTAGACTCAAACCACCAACCTTCAGGTTAGCAGCAGAGTGCTTAACCACTGCACTACCAGGCCCTTAGCGGGACTGGGGAGGTGGAAATCAGGGCCACCACAGGAGAGACTCACTTTAAGGTGAGCAGATACACGGGCCAGACCCCACGAGAGTGGGAAGGCTCAGATGAGTCACGTGCAGATTATGCTATGATACAATTCTAGACCCAACGGTCCACGCCTGATCCACAGCAAAGATGGGAAGGCAAGGGAAACAAGATCACTGGAAAGGGAACGAGATCAGAAACGACATGAATGCCGCGTAGAGCTTGTGTCGAATGTAACCAACACCCCTGGGCACACTGTGCGGAAGTTGCTGAACGGAAACCTCACTGGCGTGCAAATCTTCACCAAAAATGCAACAAGGTGTTCCTTTAAAGACTGCAGATTCTGGCCAGGAGTTGGGGAGGTCTAGGATTCTGCATTTCTAACAAGGCCTTGGCTGGAGCCTGTTAGTAAAACATCCTATGCTATCTGCTCCGTTCTACTATTTGGACTTATAATCAACCATAATCGTCCTAAAAAGTCTGTGTACCTTCTATCTACAGAATCACACAGGCATAACCTGTGTCCCTGGCTACCCCATGGGCTGTGTGACGACAGGGCCCCATCCTCTGTCTCCTCATTACCCCCACGGGAGTCACTGCTGTTGTTAGCATATTGTAAAAGCTCGAAACCCTGATGCAAACGCACCAGCTTTTTATAATTTTACTTATTTTGTTGTGTTGTTGAGAATGCACACAGCAAAACACACAGCAGCTCGGCCGTTTTGACATGAGCCGTTCGCGGACAGGGACATGGACTCCACCCACTGTCACCCTCCTTGGCCAATTGTTCCTCCCTCACTGACATCAACTCCCTGGTCCTAAGTCCCTCATCTAACCTTCCAAGTGCCTGCTGCCCACCTGACCACGTAGAGGTCATTCTTAAAGAGCATCACGCTCAAGGCAGCCACTTTTTGCTAGTTCAGCTGAACTACTCCTTGGTTTTGAGAAGACATCACAGGATGTTTTTGGTTTAAGGTAAGACGATCTTGGCCAATGGTTTCGGGGGTATGCCGGTTATTTTTATTTGAAACCAAGGCCCAGCTGGCCTGTCTGCCATGGCAGAGCATCAAGGGAAAGCAATAACTCACCTTTTGCCTCCAATATGTATATGAGCCGGATTCCCAGTGCCATGGCGACGTTGGAGAAGAGGCAGGAGGTGATCTTTTGGAGGTGGCTCCTCTGAGTGTAGCTGAAGGTCACGAGCATGTAGGGCAGGTAGGTGAAGAAGAAGATGATCCCCCCCGCGGCAGTGGCAACATGGGCTGTGAGTCGGGAAGCAAGACACGGAGAGATTCACAAAGCACACAGGGACAACGGCGGCCCCACCTCACCCCTGCCACGGTCAAGGAGGCTCTGCACGGGTCACAGCATCTCTCTGGGAAGCCATGTCTGAAGACATTCTGACAGGCACCTCCTATAGCTGAACTTTGACGATGGAAGGACTACAAGGGCTTGTGGGCTTAGAAAAATGAACTGATCCTCACCAAGAGCACAAGAAACAAACAGAAAAAATACATAAATTGCAAGAAGGTGAAAAGACAACCTACAGAACGGAGACTATGTCTGTAAACCAAACGTGGTACTACACAGAGAACCCCTGCAACTCAACAAGATGGCAAAAAGCCCAATCAAAAACAGGAGAAGGACGTGAACAGGCATTTCTCCCAAGAAGATACACAAATGGCCGATGTGTTAGACTGGGTTCTTTAGAGAAACAAAACCAGTAAAGCTTATATATATATAGAGAGAGAAATTTATCTTAGGAAAATGGCTCACACACTTATAGAAGCTGGCAAGTCCAAAGTTCATGGATCAAACATCAAGCTGGAGGCTTTTCCACGTCAAGCTGTAGGCTTTTCCCGACTCTTGCAGCTGCAGGTGCTGAGGAGCTCAAGGTTGGCAGGCAGTACACCGGCTGTTGACTCCAATGAATGACGACGAATCCAAGATCTCCAGGCCTAATGGTGGATTGTTCACTCACAGACTGTTGTAGGCAGCACAACAGAATCCTGATCCACAGAAGAATGTCTCTTTTCCCAGGATGTTCATAAATATACTGGAAGCAGTCCACACCCCTAGGGAAAGTCCCTTTCAACAGACTGGCTGCTCAAAACATATTCATCTGATCCCATCATGGGAATAACCACATTACAACTGCTTAAACCACACAGAATTGTGGTCCAGCCAAGTTGACACACAGCTCCAACTATCACAGTCCACCCCTTGTCAACTTGGCAGTTGTACACATCTTCTTAACCATATATAATCTCTAAGTAAGGACAATTATAAAGTCATATTTGTGCCTAACATGATACGCTAATACACGTACAATCGAAATGCATTAACCTTATTTACATTTCACAATTCATAACAGAAGGAAACAAAAATATTTGATGCACATATACAATGAAGAAATAGAACAATCACAGTTCTCGTTTCTGCAGCTGGTCACGTGGTTGTAGCTGCTATTCAGGACTACCTTCTTCTACCACCCATTCTGTATTTCCCTTGCCCTCAGCAAGCACATAGCTGGTCGTGGTTCTTTGCCTGGTGGGTGACCCAAACCTTCATTCCTGAAGGATCTGGGCCGTTAGCAGTCATATCAGAATTGGGTTGCTGTAATTTTCCATTGATTTTAAGCACAGGGCATGATAGTACTAAAAGACGTCCTAAAGAATCTCCTGTATTCCAGACATATTCTTCTTTACCTCCATTAGGTAAAGTCAATCCAGTTTGCCCTTGGTAATCAGGATTTATCACACTAGATAGTACAGTGATGTCCTTCTTTGTCTGTTGATCCAGAGGTATGAGGAAGCCAAAATGGCCGGGTGGCATTCTTAATTTCCAGTTCAATGCAATCAGTATTGTGTCTCCAGGTGGGAGTGTTCCTCCCTTTGGGACTAAGATCTCCAGACCAGCAGAGCATAGGGTAGCAGGGACAGGAAACAAAAATTTTCTGAGTGGGTCACTAGGGGTAATAGTGAGTGGTACCACTCCTGTTTCCACCCCTTGGTTCCTGGACCTGTGAATCCTGGCTATTGGAGAAACAGAACTATATATTGGATGCTGGTTTAGAGCATATACAGCCTCCTGGAAAACACTGCCCCAACCCTTCAAGGTATTGTCACCTAACTGGTGCTGTAATTGTGTTTTTAGCAGGCCATTCCACAGTTATATCAAGCTAGCTGCTTCAGGATGATGGGAAACATGGTAAGACCAGTGAATTCCATGAGCATAAGCCCACTGCTGCACTTCATTTGCTGTGAAGTGAGTCCCTTGATCCGAAGCAATGCTGTGTGGGACACCATGATGGTGGATAAGGCATTGTGTAAGTCCACAGATGGTAGTTTTGGTATTGCATGCAGGGAAGGCAAATACACATCCAGAATAAGTATCTATTCCGTAAGAACAAAACACTGTCCTTTCCATGATGGAAGTGGTCCAATGTAATCAACCTGCCACCACGTTGCTGGCTGATCACCTCGAGGAATGGTTCCATGTTGCTGACTCAGTGTTGGTCTCTGCTGCTGGCAGACTGAGCACTCAGGAGTGGTGGCAGCCAAATCAGCCTTGGTAAGCGGGAGTCCATGTTGCTGAGCCCATGTATAACTTCCATCCCTGCCACCATGGCCACTTTATTCATGAGCCCACTGAGCAATGACAGGAGTAACTGGGGAAAAAGGATGGCTGGTTTCCACTGAGTGTGTCATCCTATCCACTTGATTGTTAAAGTCCTCCTCTGATGAAGTCACCTTTTATTGGACATTCACATGAGACACAAATATCTTTACTCCTTTGGCCCATTCAGAGAGATCTATCCACATACTCTTTCCCATCATCCTTATCACCAATCTTCCAGTCATGCTCCTTCCAAGTCCCAGACCATCCAGCTAAGCCATTAGCCACCGCCCATGAATCCGTATATAATCGCACATCTGGCCATTTCTTATTCCATGCAAAGTGAACAGCCAGATGCATGGCTCGAAGTTCTGCCCATTGGGTGGATTTCCCCTCACCACTGTCTTTCAAGGAAGTCCCAGAAAGGGGCTGCAGTGCCGCTGCTGTCCACTTTCAAGTGGTGCCTGCATATCATGCAGAACTATCTGTAAACCAGGCACGAGTTTTCTCTTCCTCAGTCAACTAGTCATAAGGAACTCCCCATGAGGCCATAGTTGCAGAATGGGAGAGGGAATGTGACTGGAGTGGAGACCATAGGCATATGGGCCACTTCCTCATGCAACTTATACCTTCAGGTCCTTCTTGAGCCTGATCTCTGATATACCACTTCCGTTTAATGATGGAGTGCTGCTGTGCATGTACAACTTTATGACTCTGTGGGTCAGACAACACCCAGTTCATGATGGGAAGCTCAGGCCTCATGGTGACTTTGTGGCCCATGGTTAGGTGTTCAGTCTCTACTAAAGCCCAGTAACAAGCCAAAAGCTATTTCTCAAAAGAAGAGTAGTTATCTGCAGAGGATGGCAGGGCTTTGCTCCAAAATCCCAAGGGCCTGCGTTGTGATTCACCCATAGGGACCTGCCAAAGACTCCAAACAGCATCTCTGTCTACTACAGATACTTCAAACACCATTGGATCAGTCGGATCATATGGCCCAAGTTTCAGAATAGCCTGCATGGCAGCCTGAACCTGTTGCAGAGCCTTTTGTTGTTCTTGGCCCCACTCAAAACTAGTAGCTCTCCGAGTCACTTGATAAATAGGCCACAGCAACACACCCAAATGAGGGATATGCTGCCTCCAAAACCCAAAGAGTCCCACCAGACGTTGTGCCTCCTTTTTAGTTCTGGGGGAAGCCAGATACAATAGCTTATCCTTCACTTTAGCAGGAATATCTCTACATGCCCCACACCATTGGATCCCTAGAAATTTCACTGAGATGGAAGGTGCCTGAATTTTTTTGGGTTAATTTCCCAACCTCTAGCACACATATGTCTCACCAATAAGTCTAGCATCATTGATACCTCTTTACTAGGTCCCATCAGCATAATGTTACCAATAAAATGGACCAGTGTGATGTCTTGTGGAAGGGAAAGGAGATCAAGATCCCTATGGTCTAAATCATGACATAGTGCCAGGGAGTTGATATACCCCTGAGGAAGGACTGTAAAAGTATACTGTTGGCCTTGCCAACTGAAGGCAAACTGCTTCTGATGGTCCTTTGAAACTGGTATCAAGAAAAAGGCATTGGCCAGATCAATACCTGCATACCAAGTACCAGGAGATGTACTAGTTTGCTCAAGCAATGAAACCACATCAGGAATAGCAGCTGCAATTGGAGTCACCACCTGATTAAGTTTATGATAATCTACTGTCATTCTCCAAGATCCACCTGTTTTTTGCACAGGCCAAATAGGCTAATTAAATGGGGATGTGGTGGGAATCACCACCCCTGCATCTCTCAAGTCCTTGATGGTGGCAGTAATCTCTGCAACCCCTCCAGGGATGCGGTACTGCTTTTGGTTTACTATTTTTGTAGGTAGAGGCAGTTCTAATGGCTTCCACTTGGCTTTTCCTACCAGAATAGCCCTTACTCCACATGTCAGGGACCCAATGTGGGAATTCTGCCAATTGCTCAGTATATCTATTCTAATTATGCATTCTGGCACTGGGGAAATCACTACAGGATGGGTTCGGGGACCCACTGGACCAACTGTGAGATGCACCTTAGCTATGACTCCATCAATAACTTGACCTCCATATGCCCCCACTCTTACTGGTGGGCCACAGTGACATTTTGGGTCTCCTGGAATCAATGTCAATTCAGAGCCAGTGTCCAGTAATCCCAAAAAAGTCTAATTATTTCCTTTTCCCCAATGAACAGTCACTCTCATAAAAGGTCCCATATCCCTTTGGGGAAGGCTGGAAGAGTGACAATATAGATATTGGTAATGGGGTCCTCCCTCAAAGGGACCTCGCCTCCCCTTCATTCAAGGGGTTGTGGGTCTGTAAACTGACTCAAGTCTGGGAATTGATTGAGAGGTCGTGACTCTGTATTCTGGCAATTCAATCTAGGTTGCTGTTCACATGACCTAAAATTCTTCTGTCTATACAAATCAAGTAAATATTTAGTAGGCTTGCCATGTATTTCACTACTAGGAACACCATGAGCAAGTAGCCAATGCCATAATTCCACATGAGTCAGGCTATTCTCATTACTGTTCCTACTCTTCCATCCATTATGGTAACCATGCCCACCTTGCCTTTGTCAATTAATTGCTGCCACTTGGCCCCTATTACCATGGAG